ATTAGCTCTAGTTTGATCCCAGTCATTATGAGCTGGTAAATCTCCAGTCAAGTATATCCAATCAAACTATTATAACAGAGATACCAATAAATATAGCATCAAGAACTATACATGTATTTTGTCTCACTTGATCTTGTGTTGCATTGAGATGCTCCATTAAGTTTACAACAGTTTGTAGTGGTACATCACAGTGAGCATCACCCCAAGCACCTGCTGAGTTGTCTGGAGTTCCTGAAATACAAAAAATTAAATTATGAAAAGAAAAAATTGGCCGATAAAGAAATAGGTAGAAATTTTCTCTTGGATGTGCACAATTTAATTATAACGCCCAACTATGCACATATAGTAGCTGGTAACAACTATTCTAGATAAGTGATACCTTTTGGTAGTGGTGGTCTACAGCATAATGGTTCATCACAACGAGCTTGAAGGCCAGGAGTATACTGAGGATCCCAATGAATATCAGAAATATGAAGAATTCTGTTAGTAATGTTGACCTAAAAATACAAAATTTGAACAATCTATAAAGTGACTTTATTGTTATAACAAGTTCATTCTTATCACCATAGATCACACAAAATAGGACAAATTTACGCTTTTCTACAAATAAATTTTTTGATTATTTAATTTCCTTTCATATAAAAGCTACAGCTAGAGTAGCACTTGACCAAAGACAATCAGTTTACTTACTGCCAACTGTGAGTAGCAACTCCTACCTCACTATCCCTTACCAGTATATCCAGGCTACTCATGACACACCTCTCTCTCTATACACATTGCCAACTATCAAGCCAAGTATTGTAATAAAATACACATCATGCATGTATATGTACTTAATTCATGTACTTTTGGTGGCTGATAAGGAACGAGGGGAGGTTTGCCACCAGGTACAGGAACAGTCCACTCTTGATTGAAAGGATCGTACGTTGTGCCACATTTATCATCGAGAATAGTGCCACATACTTCCCGAGTAGAGAGCGCAGTATGATCGAACACATAAAGGACTTCATCCTATAAAATGAATATTAAAACTTAATATTAAATTTACAGGTACAACCTCTTGGAACTTGATATAGACAACTATCACAACATAACTGTATGGTACTGGTAATCAAGGTTAATTTAGGAGGTGTCGGGTTTAATTTCAGATAAACAAAAAGCTAAGTAGGTACATCAAATTAAAAACTTGTTTCACGTAATGACATACCGTATAGCAGGTTAATTTCAAGGATAATAAATTTTGCGAATGACCATTATCTAGAAGTTCGCGGAATTAATTTTCGCAAATTTCCACTATTCTGCCATCTTTTACCGTATTAAATTGATTTTCAAGGAATTAATTTTGTGAATCTTGAAAAATCTGCAAAATTTGTTACCCTTGAAGTAACCCGCTATACGGTATACCATAATGGAAAAAAATACAATTGGCAATCCAGTGATTTATAGGTTAAATTTCTTTCACACTGGATATTTTCAAAATTTTAATACATTTTATAATGGCAGTATCTAGTTCATAATCAATCGCAACATCAATGTTACCTTAAATTCAGGTATGATGAGTTTGCAAATACGATCATCGGCTAATTTGAACTTTTCACATGCCTCGATCGCAGCCTTTTCAATCAAGGACTCACTGAAATGAAATTCAGCTAATTTCTGAATGGTATCCACAATGACAGTACAAGCTTCACACAGTACACTATCAGCTATTCCAGAGGTTATTCCCTTTAGGGATGCCGATTGAACTGGTTGGTTGAGACGAAATACAATCAACAACACAAGCACGGTTCCTAAGAGCCCCTTCATTCCCAACTTTTTTTGGCCAGTTCTCCCTCGATTTATCCTTACGTTAAGCTCTCCTGAGCGGGCCAGCTGACACGGGATGAGCTACTGCAAATGAGCAGATCACACCACCACCAGTCAGTCCTGCCCTGTGACATGATTGATCGATTATCTATAATATGTATAATACGCCCACACACTGGCACACAGGAAATTATATTCTGAAATTCTAATCAGCAGTGTTGATTAGCTGTAGCATAAAAGTTTATCAGTAAAATTCTAATCAGCAGTGTTGATGAGCTGTAGCATAAAAGTTTATCATTTGTTCTCTTGTAATATTTAGATCACTATCAGAATCAAGAGCACTGCATGCAGAGATATTGCTAAATGTTGTTAAACAAGAACAGATTGTCAAGTTTTTATTTAGGGCATTTGAGCAAATGGAGGTCGAATATTGTGATTCCATGTCCAACTCAAATGACTTAAAAATGTAACTACAAGAGAAAAAAATAATCATTATAATTCCTAGAGCCTACTGATAATATTTCAAGAAGAGATCATTATTAGTTAAAAACTCCTTCAGTAAAGATAACCAACTATCAGGTGTTAGATTAGTCATATTGTATGCATCCTATATGTTCATGATAATATACCATTACAATACTCATTGTCTTACTTTAGCTGAGTATTCATGGATCCATTTTGGTTTATTAGTAAGATTAGCATCAGTAATGTTTAGTATGTATGTATCATGATCCAGTACTTGTCTAGACGACTCATTGTAATTACCATCAACAGTATAAACTCTATATCCTGCATTCTGACACTTAAAAGTGGTTACACTAGGGCCATTATACCATACACTACAAAGCAATAAATATTATAATTTTTTTCTATAATAATACCCATATGGCCTTGGAGTAGAACTGGTTTCAAAATCCATTAAAACAGTGAAGGTGTCATTGTGAGTGTGACCAAAGAATTGCCCAGCAATAGTGTTCTCAAATCTAAAGATCAGTATCAACAAGAGTATCAATCATCTGTACAACTTTTTGTATATTTACCTTGACACGATTTTTTTATAGTTCTGACCCCAAGAATCACTACCTGGAGGAATATGACCCAGTACATGAACCTTCATTCCTTTTGCTTCAGCATCAAGCAACTTCTCAATAAACCAATGTAACATTCCATCAGGATCAGTGCTGTTGATTAGCAACCACCTATAAATCATCGATATCCATCATTACTGACATTATCATTAATTTTTATAGATCTAGTTACCAATTTTGATTATTATAATAGTTAGTCTGCAAAGAAATAATTCTTAATCCATTGAAGTCAATTGAATAGAATCCACCGCTATAATGTGAATGACTAACATGTGCATGGGAACAAGGCTAACCTTTTAAATGTATTAATAGCATCTGTTGTGGTTAGCCATTTCTGAAGCAGCTCAGCAGCATCATCATATAGCCATGACATTGAATACTCAGTGATAGAAGCAGGAGGGAAACTACAAGAAATAAGCTCATAGTTAAGGATAGATCTTATGATCTTACCTATTAACAGGTGCACTTTCATGATTACCAACTGAAAAGAATAGTGGCTTGTTTGGTAAATACTCATAGAACAAATTAATAATTTTATTAAATATATAAATCTGATCATCTTGAGTCTGATTCCAAATGTTATGTGGTGGCAAATCTCCAGTAAGGTATATCCAGTCAAACTAGAATGTTACAATCCTATCTGTTATATAATCACTGTACCAACCTGATCTTGAGTATCATTAAGATATTCTATTAGATTTAGAAGTGTTTGCATTGGTAAATCACACTGTCGCGGATCACCCCAAAAACCAGCAGAATTATTTGATTCCCCTGTAAAATGTATTGGCAAAATAATTTATGTATTTCAATCAATATGGATTCCGATTAGTAATTCAAAAATTAACCTTTAGGTATTGGTGGTCTACAGCACAATGGTTCATCACATTGAGCTTGAAGGCCAGGAGTATACTGAGGATCCCAATGAATATCAGAAATATGAAGAATTTTGTTAGTAATGTTTACCTATAGCAAAAAGCTAGCATGTACATTAAGGCATAGTGTAAATAGATGTTTTCAAGATGCCAGCATTGCATGAGTTGCATTTTTTTAGAAAAGGACATATCACAATATGAATATAGTGTTTAGGTTATTCACTGCTATACACAATGATAAATGCAAAGGTCATCATTGAAGCATAACTATATGCTGATATGAATAGCATAATGGCTATCGAATTTACTTTTGGTGGTTGATATGGTTTAATGGGAGGTTTACCACCAGGAATAGTAACATTCCATTGTTGATTAAGAGGATCATATATTGTACCACATTTATTATTGAGAATAGTGCCACATATTTCCCGAGTAGAGAGTGCAGTATGATCAAACACATACAGCACTTCGTCCTAAAATTCAAATCTATCTAACATTATTTCTATTACTCTTATACCTTGAACTCTGGTATGATCATTTTACATATTCGATCATCAGCTAGATTAAATTTTTTGCAGTACACTATTAATACTTCTTCTATCAATGATTCACTGGCTTGTAGCTCAGCCAGTTTCCTGACAGCATCCACCATCTCTGAGCAAGCATCACATGAAAGGCTTTTAGCAACTTCAGGTGTAGACCTGCTGAGATCCAGGGTCATCTTCCTTAATGATACTAGATAAACTGTTTGGAACTGGCATATAAAGAGCAAAGCGAAGGAGAGCAACACAGCATAGGATCCCATTTTAAGAGCTGCACAAAAAGCACAGGTAGTTACAACTAGGGGTGTCCCGATTATTCCGGAATAATTTTGGGAATAATAGGTAGCACTTCAATTCCAGAATAATGCTGGCCTAATAGACCACCCTAGGCGAGAATTGAATGCGTAGGAAGATTATCAGAAATTTTTACGGTTGTAAGGCGTGGTTTAGGATGAAATAAATTCCGGCCGCCATTTTGGTTGGTTGGAGACAAACAAACCTGTATTAAGAATTCTGGAGCAAATTTGACCAAATCCTTGATAGGAGAAGCTTAGAGGCAGCTGCTCTTTCTTATAACAAGTGCTTTTTAGCTATTAATAGAGCTACAGCAGGTAAGTGAGGCATTTTCTTCGTGCCTCCATTGACTTCCATAATAAACTTGCCAACCAAAATGGCAGCCAATTATGATGTGTGGGCGGGTACCGTATATAAAATTAATGAAATTCATAACTTTTCCAATTCACGCCTAGGGTGGTCTATAGGTCGATCAGTAGCCAAACTCTAATTAAAGAGCAGCAAATGCACAATTTTTGAATTTTTTAATGCCTGAGCTAGTTGTAACTCAATTTTGAACAAAGTTCAGGCTCTGAAATTGATATAGAGACTTATATTTTGCAGTCTCTGCTGATAGTGATACTTTAAATAGCTTCTCAGACTCACTAATTTTCATTTTTATTGTAGTTAGCTCATGATTATAAAGAATAAAGTGAGAATAATAGGGCAGAATAAAAAGAATAATAGGCAAATTTTTGAGAATTTCTGAATAGAATTATAGGTAAAAAATTAGCATAATCGGGACACCCCTAGTTACAACAGCAAAACAGCCACGCCCAAAAATATTTGAGATCCAATTTTCATGAAAATGATTTAATACAACAGTAGCAGAATTTAACAGTCTTCATGAGCTGCTTCATACAGCATCATTTGTTCTTGAGTTACGATGTTAGGAGCAATAGCATCGCATGCAGAAATATTACTAAAAGTTGATAAACAAGAACAAATCGTAGAATGTTGACAATCGCCAGAGCATTGTGACTCCATATCAAAAGACTTAGAAATATAACTAGAAAAGTAAAGAATATGTTATTGATTGAATTATAGAACTTACTGATAATATTTTAAAAAGAGATCATTATTAGTTAAAAACTCCTTCAGTAAAGATAACCAACTATCAGGTGAGAGATTAGTCATATTGTATGCATCCTATATGTTCATGATAATGTATCATTACAATACTCATTGTCTTACTTTAGCTGAGTATTCATGGATCCATTTTGGTTTATTAGTAAGATTAGCATCAGTAATGTTTAGTATGTATGTATCATGATCCAGTACTTGTCTAGACGACTCATTGTAATTACCATCAACAGTATAAACTCTATATCCTGGATTAAAATTTGTTATTGGAGTTACACTAGGACCATCATACCACACACTACAAAGCAATTAAAATAATTTTGAAATTACATAATTTTCCCAACACATTACCTATAAGGTCTTGGAGTAGAACTGGTTTCAAAATCCATTAAAACAGTGAAGGTGTCAGAATGATAATGACCAAAGAATTGCCCAGCAATAGTGTTCTCAAATCTAAAGATCAGTATCAATCATCTGTACAACTTTTAGTATATTTACCTTGAAACAATTTTTTTATAGTTTTGACCCCAAGAATCACTACCTGGAGGAATATGACCCAGTACATGAACCTTCATTCCTTTCTTCTCAGCATCGAGTAACTTCTCAATAAACCAATGTAACATTCCATCAGGATCAGTGCTGTTGATCAGCAACCACCTAAATTTAGATCATCGATGCCCATCACTAAATATTATTTATAATTATTAGTTACCAATTTTGATTATTGTAATAGTTAGTCTGCAAAGAAATAATTCTTAATCCATTGAAGTCAATTGAATAGAATCCACCGCTATAATGTGAATGACCAACATGTGCATGGGAACAAGGCTAACCTTTTAAATGTATTAATAGCATCTGTTGTGGTTAGCCATTTCTGAAGCAGCTCAGCAGCATCATCATATAGCCATGACATTGAATACTCAGTGATAGAAGCAGGAGGGAAGCTACAAGAAATAAGCTCATAGTTAAGGATGGGTCTTATGATCTTACCTATTAACAGGTGCACTTTCATGATTACCAACTGAAAAGAATAGTGGCTTGTTTGGTAAATACTCATAGAACAAATTAATAATTTTATTAAATACATAAATCTGATCATCTTGAGTCTGATTCCAAACGTTATGTGGTGGCAAATCTCCAGTAAGGTATATCCAGTCAAACTAGAATGTTACAATCCTATCTGTTATATAATCACTGTACCAACCTGATCTTGAGTATCATTAAAATGTTCCATTAAATTTATAAGAGTTTGCATTGGTAAATCACATAATGGTTCACCCCAATAACCAGCAGAATTATTTGATTCCCCTGTAAAATGCATTGCAAAAATAATTTATGTATTTTAATCAATATCAGTAATTTAAAAATTAACCTTTAGGTATTGGTGGTCTACAGCACAATGGTTCATCACATTGAGCTTGAAGGCCAGGAGTATACTGAGGGTCCCAATGAATATCAGAAATATGAAGAATTCTGTTAGTAATGTTTACCTATAGCAAAAAGCATGTATACATTAAGATATAATGTTAATAGCCCTGGTAGGATCACATGATTTACATTCTTTTTATATAAAAGAACATAGCACAACATGAATAACATTGATCATTGTATTATGTTATGTAATTCATTGCTATAAATTAATAATAAATAAATCAATAATAAATAAAATAATAAATAAATAATCCTGGTCTAAAATTTCTGTAAACTATAATGTACATTGTGCTCATTATATGCACAATGATAAATGCAAAGGTCATCATTGAAGCATAACTATATTTAACATAATGTATGCCGACTTACTTTTGGTGGTTGATATGGTTTAATGGGAGGTTTACCACCAGGAATAGTAACATTCCATTGTTGATTAAGAGGATCATATATTGTACCACATTTATTATTGAGAATAGTGCCACATATTTCCCGAGTAGAGAGTGCAGTATGATCAAACACATACAGCACTTCGTCCTAAAATTCAAATCTATCTAACATTATTTCTATTACTCTTATACCTTGAACTCTGGTATGATCATTTTACATATTCGATCATCAGCTAGATTAAATTTTTTGCAGTACACTATTAATACTTCTTCTATCAATGATTCACTGGCTTGTAGCTCAGCCAGTTTCCTGACAGCATCCACCATCTCTGAGCAAGCATCACATGAAAGGCTTTTAGCAACTTCAGGTGTAGACCTGCTGAGATCCAGGGTCATCTTCCTTAATGATACTAGATAAACTGTTTGGAACTGGCATATAAAGAGCAAAGCGAAGGAGAGCAACACAGCATAGGATCCCATTTTAAGAGCTGCACAAAAAGCACAGGTAGTTACAACAGCAAAACAGCCACTAGAGGTGGGCGATACGATACCAAAGTACTCATATATCCGATACCAGGCCTCCGATACCAAGTACTCGATACCAAATCCTGGTATCGATCGAGTAGTGAGTAACCACGCCCCACCACACCTATTTTATTACGTCATAATTATGACCACACCCCTTAATAATTACAAAATGGCGGGTTATGTATTTTCATTAATTTTTATAAATAACTAATTATAACTTAATTGCGCATGCGTAGTAGCTGACTACTCATTCACTACTCGATACCATCGATACTGAGACTCAGACTACTTGGTATCGGTATCGATTCAAAATTTCTGGTATCGCCGCGCCCGCCTCTAACAGCCACGCCCAACAATAGATCTATTGGAGATCTAGTCTAATTTTTCATTTAATCGATTGAAAAGAACAGCTAGTACATGTAGCAGCATTTAACAGTCTTCATGAGCTGCTTCATACAGCATCATTTGTTCTTGAGTTACGAGGTTAGGAGCAATAGCATCGCATGCAGAAATATTACTAAAAGTTGATAAACAAGAACAAATTGTAGAATGTTGACAATGGCCAGAGCACTGCGACTCCATATTAAAAGACTTGGAAATATAACTAGAAAAAAAATTTTTTTAAATTATTAATTCATTTGTAGAACTTACTGATAATATTTTAAGAAGAGATCATTATTAGTTAAAAACTCTTTTAGTAAAGATAACCAACTATCAGGTGTGAGATTAGTCATATTGTATGCATCCTATATGTTCATGATAATGTATCATTACAATACTCATTGTCTTACTTTAGCTGAGTATTCATGGATCCATTTTGGTTTATTAGTAAGATTAGCATCAGTAATGTTTAGTATGTACGTAACATGATTCAGTACTTGTCTAGAGGACTCATTGTAATTACCATCAACAGTGTAAATTCTGTATCCTGGATTCAATTCTGTCATTGACGTCACACTAGGACCAATATACACAACACTAGAAAAATATTATCAAATGAATATGAGCTCACAAAATAAAAGTAAGAATTGCAATAAGACTCTAGTTACCTATAAGGTCTAGGATCAGTGCTAGTTTCAAAGTCCATCAAAACACGAAACTTGTCTACATGGCTGTGGCCAAAAAATTGTGCTGAAATAGTATTTTCAAACCTAGTGATTAGAAGAATTGTGCAAACAAAAATTATATAAAGAATTTTTGTCAGTGACAAATTAATTTAGCAAGTTATAAATTAATTTTTTATTGTATACCTCAAAACAATTTTCTTATAGTTTTGACTCCAAGGATCATCTCCTGGAGCAATATGACCTATTACATGAACCTTTATTCCTTTCTTCTCAGCATCAAGTAACTTCTCAATAAACCATTGTAACATTCCATCAGGATCAGTGCTGTTTACTAGTAACCACCTAAATCAAAATAATTATCATTAATTTCCTATTGCTTGATATTAACCAACTCACCAATTCTGCTTGTTATGATAATTAGTTTGTAAAGAAATGATTCTTAGTCCATTAAAATCAATGGAGTAGTATCCCCCACTATAACAGTAGTTGTAAATTACTATCACTGTAGGAAATTAATTTAACCTTTTAAGAGTATCAATGGCATCTTGTGTGTTTAACCATTTCTTTAACATGTCAGCAGCGTTATCGTAGAGCCATGACATTGAATATTCAGTTATAGAAGAAGGAGGGAAACTATAAATGTACTAAAATAATTTCAATTACGTAAGGATCTTTTAATACCTGTTAACAGGATCACTTTCATGATTACCAATTGAATAGAACAATGGCTTATCTGGGAGGTATTCATTAAAGAGACCAATGATCCTATTAAAAATAGAAACTTGACCAGATTTAGTTTGTTCCCAATCATTATGAGCTGGTAAATCTCCAGTCAAGTAAATCCAATCAAACTATTGTGGTAATAGTTATAATATTATTATTCTACCAAGTCAAACCTCTTCCTGGGTACTATTGAGATGTTCCATTAAGTTGACAAGTGTTTGCATTGGTAAATCACAGAATGGTTCACCCCAATAACCAGCTGAATTGTTTGGTGCTCCTACAAGTTAGAGTACCATGCAATCTCAAACTCAACAACATAAAACACTTTAATAATTATTATAATCAATAAATTAATTTTTTGAAATAGAAGTTATTAATACCTTTTGGTAGTGGTGGTCTACAGCACAATGGTTCATCACAACGAGCTTGAAGGCCAGGAGTATATTGAGGGTCCCAATGAATATCAGATATGTAAAGAATCTTGTTAGTAGTATTAACCTGTGGTGTCAATGACAATAGGCAGTTTTTACAGCATTCTGTACATGGTAATAGTATGCAATGAATATTAACAATAGACAATATTATACATACATTGCTGAGTGTTGTAAAATAAAATAATATACATCTAAAATCAATATTCGTAAGGAGTTATCATTAATAATTTATGAAGTATTAATTATGAAACTAGTACACATACTTGAATTTTTTATCGTTGTCATCTTACATATTACATAATAAAATATTTACAATAGATATACACTTGGCAGATTGCAATTATTATTACTTTTGGTGGTTGATATGGTTTAATAGGTTTTCCACCAGGTATAGGAATGCTCCATTGTTGTTTAAGAGGATTATAGGGTATACCACATTTATCATCAAGAATAGTGCCACATATTTCCCGAGTAGAGAGTGCAGTATGATCAAAGACATATAGAACCTCATCCTAAATGAGACAGCTTTTAATATAAGGCATAATAATGTCATACCTTAAACTCTGGAATGATCATTTTACAAATTCGATCATCAGCTAGTTTAAATAACTTGCAATACTCTATTGCTGCTTCTTCTATCAATGATTCACTGGTTTTCAGCTCAGCCAGTTTCCTGATAGTATCCACCATCTCCGAGCAAGCATCACATAAAATCCCAGTAGCTGAAGCTTTTAAAGATGCTGGTTGAACTGGCACATATAAAGTTAAGAAAGCTAGCAGTATTAAAGACATCTCACTCCACTTCATAGCTATAGCTGCTAAGGACCACACCCATGCAAAGTTGCAAACCTATGAATTAGATAAAATAGTGACAAACATGTACAAAAATGATAATTATAATTCATTAATTTGACTCATCTTATTTCAATGCTTGACAGATCACTATAATTACTTTACAAGTTTTATATCTATAGAAGACATATCTAGCTTTAAAAGAAATAAAAATCAATTTGACAGACCACTAGCTTACTCTGATATATTTCTTCCCATGCTGACACACGTGGGTAAGACCACGCCCATTGGATACCTATTTGTGAATGTGCTATGGTGCCATGTAGCAGCCTAGACTAGATCATTCATGTATGTGAAGTGTGGATGAATCAAGACTTTAGCAGGTAAGACATAAGACTAGGAGTTTTTGGTAGCCTAAACAAACCCTTTGGTTCTGAAAACCCATTCTGCAACATATAATTTTTATCTTTCATTAACATTGTTCATGGCATAAAGTTTGGATCTTTAGGGGAAAGTACTTTTGATGTGACTTTAATAAATTATTATTATTGTATCATAATTGGGGCGAGCCTGAGCTCACCCCACTAAGGCGAGAAAACGTCTGCCTGTCTGTCTGTCTGTACAGACAGTAGGATCGTCTAACTATTATTAATGTTAAATACTCTAACTATGATTATGCTCACGTGCATGCACACAAGCCAATATAACCATGCTTGCAACAAAAATTAACCAGTATTCATCAATTTTTTACATGGCAGCATTTTTACAGTGAAGTCAGAGAAATGAATCAAGAAGAAGCTCGTAAGAGTCGTTGTAGGGAGCTCTACAGCCAGAGAATGGCCACAGAGACTCCTGAAGCAAGAGAAGCCAGGCTGGCTATGAGAAGAGTCGCAGCTAGAGCTCGTAGAACTAATAATATCTAATTGCGTGTACATACTCAGGCTCGCCCCTCAATGTTCTACATTACTCCTAGTTATTGATAATACTATGTAGCTGGAGAGTTTCCTACAAAATTTTGGTATTTTGAGCAGATTTCGGTCAAAATTAGATTATAAATTTTTTTAATGTAGCACTAAATTTTGCCAAGATTAAAAAAAAGAAAATTTTAACTTTATATATTTTTGTTGCATATACATGTATTTATTTTGCATGGAAAATTTGAGCTGATTCTGATCAAAATTAAATTTTCATAGATTTGATTAAAGTCCCTGTACTGTAGTACATGGTCTCAGACCAAATTTTGCCAAAATTGAAAAAGACAGAATTCTTCAATTCTATATTTGTTTTCTGATACATATACATGTATTTTTGTTGCATAGAAAGTTTGAACTGATTCCAATCAAGATTGAATTTTTTGTGAATTTTAAAATTGCTCAAAAATCTGGTCAAAGTCCCTGTACTGTAGTACATAGTCTCAGGCCAAATTTTGCTAAAATTGAGGGCTCGAACATTGTATAGTTAGCATTTCATTTTTTGTGAATTCGCTAATACATGTAAATTTGCTGGTATTTGCAGATTTATTTTTCACCCTTCAGCTATCTTGTACCATATTTTCCATTATTTTATTTTCTAAAGCGTCACAAAATCCCAAAAATCTCTCACAACTAACTTCCTTCTATATGGTATAATTTTGCTATAGGCTATGAAATTTTTTACAAAAATCACAAAATATTTTTGACCACAAAATTACCAGTGCTACAACACTAGTTCAACATTGCATCTTCAGCATCAGTTAGTATTATATATGGGTATTTTCCCTCAAATTTACTTGTGGTTTTATACTGTGTCAACTGGACATGAGGCTCTATTGTTACTCAACAAAGCAAGTGCGTGAGGTAAGTACTAAAGTACAGTACATTACTCAATAGTATTGTGCCTTTTAATAATGAAGAAAATTATGTCTTTAGTATTGAAGGCAGTACTGATCCTGTCAGTGTTATCTCAATCATGTATCTGCAGTAGTGGTAAGTGCTATGTAAGGTCCTAATACAATTAATGACTTGCATGCACTCATATAGATTTCTTTGACATTGTTGAACTCGCTAATTTAAATGGGAGAGTTGGTGATGATGTATCATTTGTTAGAGAGCCAAGTGGGCTGGAGGCTTATCAATTATCTCGCCCAATCACTGTATCAGCTAGTAATAGTGACTGGATCAATCTCAGCAAGAGACTCCCTAACAGTGCTTATTTTGCTCATATTGATAGTAACTACATTGGTAATGTATTTGTGTGGTCAATCCAATCCAGCAGTGTCATTGTTAAAATGGATATAGAGAGAGAAGGGACAGAACATCAGTTTCTCAGTATACAAATATTAGACAGAGAACCAATCAAGTTTCAGTTGCCAGCAACAAACTTTGATTATCGGACAATTGGACTGAGAATAGCTTATGGTTGTACTGTGACTGCTTTTGTTGACTGCTATGAGTTAACTTCTACTGATCAGTCTGATTTAATTCATGGGATAAATAGCACTGATCATGTTACTATTTTTCAATCAGCATCATCATCTAACATGCCAAAGGTTAAGTACTAAACTATCTCTGTAGTATCTTGTACTTATTACCTGTTATTTATATCTTTTAGGTATCAGAGCTGATTATTTCCTCTGTAGCAAGTTTAGGAGTTAGGCGTTGTGATGTAAGTAAAAAAATCAAAATATTGTACTTCACTTCTTTTTGTCACAGAGAATTAAAGTGAAAGTCGGAGCTGACAAACAGGTTTTAAAACAATTTTACTTGTCATGATGATTTAAAAAATAAACGGTACTAGGGTATGCAAGGTGTCACTGGGCCAATTGGTCTGCCAGGACAAAAAGTAATGATTTGTGTTTTTGATATACATGTATGCGTTTTATATCAATAGGGGGAAAATGGTGAAAGTGGCATTCGTGGTTCTACAGGGGAACCTGGTTTGCGTGGAGGACAAGGACTTCCTGTTAGTCATATACACATTTAATGACAATTATATAAAATATTTAAATATGAATTATATTTAATTTCGTAGGGTCCTCCTGGAGCAGCTGGTACTGATGGTGATAAAGGTGAAATGGTATGTGGTTTGTGTGTATAAAGTTTTATTATGCCTAACTGCTTCGTGCTATTTAGTAATATCACTTGTTATTTTGATATGTTACTGAAAATTTCTGTTGTAGGATAATGAAGGGATGAAAGGAGTTACAGGGGAAGTGAGTCCTCCTGGGAATCGAGGTCCTACTGGTGATGCTGATGATAGAGGAATGAATGGTACAATGGGAATGAAAGGAGAGAATGGAAGTAGAGGAGACAATGGAATGATCGGGACACTTGGAGACAGAGGGAGAAAAGGATTTCAGGGAAGCAAAGGAATAGATGTAAATATTGTGCAGATGTACTAATCAATATAATTATGCGTGTGTTGTTATCTGTCTCTCTTAGGGAAAGGATGGCAATAGGGGAAGAAGTGGACTACCAGTTAAGATTATAATCACTTTTTGATTAAAATAATAGTTTAGGGCCCAATAGGAATGAAAGGAATCAAGGGTGCTTTGGGAGATAAAGGAGAAAATGTAAGAAATTAAGTTACCATTTTAAAATAATACCATTCATGTACATGTATACCATACCATGCATGGTAGTTATGGGTTTTCATTTCACAGATTTTAGGTTTCAGAAAAAATTACACATACATGTATAGTCACACCTTATTTTTGACATATTTGAAAAAATTTAATCCTTGAAAAAATTTTACTGTGTAGTATGTATACTGTGTATTATATTCAGAGTTTCCCACAAAGCATGCTAAGTGAGCTAAACAGCATGAGCTTCATGAACTGACAAGCACTATAATACAGTACATGGCATTTGGAGCAACTTTAGAATTCATTAAAATCCAAATTAATCAGCTCAAAGTTGATACAAAAATAAGGATATGTACATGTATCAGAATTATAAAAATGAAGAATTCTCTCTAAGCTATTTTTTGATGAAATTTAGTCTTTGACCAAAAACTATAGCCTAATTTGGTTGTTGGTCCAATTTTTGAACAGCTTTAAAAATTTGTAAAAAATCCAAATGTGATTGGAATCAGCTCAAAATTGAAATATAACATAAGAACATATATACGTATCAGAAAAATTATAAAAATGGAAAATTCTCTCCTAGCCATTTTTGGTGAAACTTGGTCTTTGACCAAAGGCTATGGTCGTTGGTCCAATTTTTGAGCAACTTTAAAAATTCATAAGAAATCCAATTTTGATCGGAATCAGCTCAAATTTTCTACACAACATAAGAACATGTATATGTACCAGAAAAAATTATAAAAATGGAGAATTCTCTCCTAGCCATTTTTGATGAAATTCGGTCTTTGACCAAAGGCTATAGCCTTTGGTCATTGGTCTAGTTTTTGAGCAACTTTAAAAATTCATAAGAAATCTAATTTTGATTGGAATCAGCTCAAATTTCTATACAACATAAGAACATGTATATGTATCAGAAAAAATTATAAAAATGGAGAATTCTTTCCTTATGATTTTTGTTGAAATACCCTGTACTGAAGAAGCTACATGAGCACTATATGCCAAAATTGTATGGGAAATCCTGGTTACATGTATATTTTGACCCATTGTCATCATTACAGGGTGATATTGGAATGAAAGGAGAGCTTGGTAGTAAAGGACCACAAGGACCATTAGGCAAAGGAGGATCACCTGTATAATACTGTCATATTGTATTACAATTATGTACATCACAATAGGGTCTTAAAGGAATAAAAGGACAGAGTGGTGTTGATGGTGATAAAGGTGATAAAGGAGAGAAAGGAAGGGAAGGAGGACCAGGAGTTAATGGAACTAAAGGACTAACAGGAGAGAAAGGAATGAAAGGAGAGAAAGGTTCTATTGGACTACAAGGAAGCAAAGGAGATACTGGCACTAATGGAAGAAATGGTAGCATTGGCCTACCTGGAATTGATGTATGTGCATGTATATACATGTATTTCTCACTTTCAAGAATTATAGGGTATTCCTCGTATGCCTGGTTCCAAAGGAATGCTGGGTGGACCAGGAAGAGAAGGATTATCAGGAGCAAAGGTTATAGTTCTTTACAAACTACTATTTTATTACATAATTATAGGGTCATCAAGGACAAACAGGTTTATCTGGAATTGATGGGGTGCCAGGTGTTGCTGGAAAACGAGGGCTTCCTGTTAGTTTATACATATACGAATAATGAATTTGGTTCTATTTTTTTATTGTACAGGGTAGAGAAGGTAACATTGGTATGTTAGGTGATAGAGGACAAAAGGGACAAACGGTATGTTGTGTAATAACATGTTGTTATACTTTCATTAAAAAGTGTAGGGCCCAAAAGGAATGAAAGGTAAACGTGGCGATAGAGGGTTACACGGGCTAAATGGTACTAGAGGACTTAATGTAAGTTTGAAACATAAGGTGGATTCTCAATATGACGCATGTGCATCCGTCACGACCGGAAGTGCTGTATAAACCAATGGGAACATACGTCAATGCATCAGATTAGAAAACATTTCTATTCTGACGCATTGACGCATACTCCCATTGGTTTATACAGCACTTCCAGTTATAACGCTAGAGCATGAAAAGCAATGCGTCATATTGAGAACCCACCTTTAGTTAGATTTTCAATAGTTTACTTACTGTGTCATTTTTTTCTGATTGTATTTCAATATACTGTGATAGCACCTCTCCATTGTTACAGGGAAGTGAAGGGATTAAAGGAGTTAAGGGAGAAGTGGGTCCTCCTGGGAATCAAGGTCCTACTGGTGATGCTGGTGATAGAGGAATGACTGGTACAATGGGAATGAAAGGAGAGAATGGAAGTGGAGGAGACAATGGAATGATTGGATTACCTGGAGACAGAGGGAGAAAAGGATATCAGGGAAACAAGGGAATAGATGTAAATATTTGTCAATTTTTTAGCATAATTTAACTTGAGTATAGGGAAGTAATGGAACTGATGGAAGACGTGGAAAACCAGTATGTAAGTGAACTTTTTGAATTTATTTTAATTGAAATAGGGCTCTGTGGGGAACAAAGGAGCTATTGGAAATAAAGGAGACAATGGAACCGATGTTAGTAACTTGATGTATATAGTTGCCATCTTTATTATTATTAGGGGATGGTGGGTATGAAAGGAATGCCAGGTAGCAGAGGACCAATGGGTCCACTAGGACCAACTGGATCAGCTGTAACTATAATAATAATAACATAATTATTTAAATAAATAATTATTTAAATAAATAAATTATTATTTTGTAGGGATTTCATGGAATAAAAGGACCTAGTGGTGGGATTGGTGATAAAGGAGAAAAAGGATATAAAGGAGGACAAGGAATAACTAGAAACAATGGTATTACCGGAATCACAGGAGATGTAGGAATGAAAGGAGAAAGAGGCCCTGTTGGGTTTAATGGTGATGAAGGAAATATCGGCGATAAAGGAATGAAGGGCTTGCCTGGACTAAAAGTAAGGACTAGTCTGATTTGAAATAATTACATTATATTTTGTACCATACTAGGGCCAAATGGGTAATACTGGTCATATTGGCGGTACTGGTGATAAAGGAATTGTTGGATCCAGAGGGGACAAAGTAAAGTATAATACAGTGTTTTAGACTTTAGTACATGTATATGTCATCATTATTGGCCTCACTGCGCTTTATAAGGTACTGGATACTTTGGTTATTTTTAATGTAGGGAATGATGGGAGACAAAGGTGACATGGGGGACATTGGACCAACTGTAAATGGATCAGTGGGACCTAAAGGATTTAAGGCTAGTTAGATAAATCTACTTTAGCTGCAAAATTTCTAATTATACCTGTACCATAGACCTGCCATACTTTGTGTTCATTTTACTTGAGAAATTCTATCTTTGAATGACATCTTGGCTTATAGTTGATGCACATACATGTGCATATGCATGCATAAAATAGACCTTTAGATGTTGTAGGAACATTTAATAATTATTGGCAACATCAATATTATTTTTATATAGCCATGTACCTGTTGTGTTTTATTTTAATGATATTTTTATCGTTTAGGGTGAGAAAGGGGACAAAGGTAACAGAGGACCCAAAGGAGGCATTGGTTTTGAGGTAAATCAAGTCATTGTGATTTTTGAATGAATTAATAACAATTCATTATTATTATCATTTAGGGTCCTAAAGGCACAAAAGGTATGAATGGCCCTCCTGGTGACGGTGTCATTGGATCTAAGGTACAAAATAATTACATGTGTATTATATTTATAAATTGGCACAGGGTGAGATGGGTCCATTTGGAGATCCTGGCTCTAGAGGAGATGATGGTGAAATTGTATGTTCACATGTTATGATGTAGCAGTTTATTATTTTTGCTAATTGCTAATAATACCATTCCCTTTATATAGGGTATGACTGGTGATGATGGTGATGATGGTGAAACTGGTTTTAAAGGTTTTAAAGGAATGACTGGAGATCGTGTAAGATGTCATTATGACTGACCACAAAGGATATAATTATATTTCAGGATGCTCGTGGATTGAAAGGTTTTCCAGGTATGATCGGTGATGATGGCAATGTGGGAAGCCATGGAGCAATTGGTCCAGCTGTAAGTCATTAGTGATTTATAGATACTAATTATAAGAACACAGGGTAGTATTGGGTCAAAAGGAAATACTGGTCCTCCTGGTGGTAAAGGAATAAGAGGATCAATTGGTTCTACTGGTATTATTGTGAGTTTTAATAAAGAGAGAGTCATTGTGACAACTGTATATTAACAGGGAAATAAAGGAATGCAAGGAGTAAATGGAGACTTGGGTATGAGAGGAGATGATGGAGAACCAGGAGAAAAAGTATAATCATAATTTCTTGCACTAAATTCTATATCCCTTTTTATAAGGGTTTTATGGGAAATAAAGGATATAGAGGTCTTCGTGGAATTACTGGAGCACAGGGCGGCCCTGTGAGTTTGTAATAGCATTTATACCTTATACATGTATGTGTTTATTATACTTGGCTTACTTCTTATTTTTCTTTTCTTTTTTTAGGGAACAAAAGGAGAAACCGGTATCATTGGTGATAATGGTGAGACTGGTGTGCAGGGAGATAATGGAACTAAAGGAGATGCTGGTCGTGTTGGAAAGCCTGGTCCAAAGGGAACTGCAGGATTAATAGTAAGTTAAAATTGTGTTATATTGATGAGTTGAAACAATTATAAAGGGATTTACTGGAAAGCCAGGACCAAGAGGAGATACTGGAAATACGGGACCACCTGGCAAAAAAGTATGTGTGTTTTAGCTAAACTGTGAAGGCATACTCATAAAGGGCTTGATTGGTGGTGTCGGGCAAAATGGAGACATTGGTGATACAGGTTTGAAAGGATCAAAAGGCATCACAGTTAGAATTTTGTTGTTTAAAGCAGTAGAATATTGTCTCATTTGTGTATAATAGGGTCCTAAAGGAGTAAACGGGTCAAAAGGTGATAATGGAAGTACTGGAATGGATGGAAGAATAGGAAAAATGGTTATCTTTATTTGCTTGTAAAACTGCATTATTCTTTTAAAAATTTCAGGGCTTGCAAGGAATGAAGGGTTGGGCAGGAGATCATGGTGACATTGGAAACATTGGAGACCCAGTACTGATATTATACATTTTGTGTATAAAATACCATACAGCCAGAAATATTGTCAGGGAATTGATATTAACAGTGCAGTGAGCAACCACCAATATAAAATCTGCCGTCTTGTTTTATTCTTCTCATACTCAATAATACATGTGGCTCCTAAACTCCCACTATAAAATATGCCATTGGAATTTGTAATGATTGACAATTAAAACAACTCTTGCCAATAGTTTCTGGCATTATGGTATGCATGTGTGAATGTTTTAGGGATTTAATGGGATGCCAGGTCGTGATGGTGATAAAGGAATGCAAGGTAACACAGGCTCAAAAGGAAAGAAGGTTAATTGTATAGTCTTGCTGTAATATAAATTCATAACGTTTATACATGTAGGGCCCTTTTGGAAACCTTGGGTCCAAAGGAATAAATGTAAGTATCATTTAGACTGTAGCCAAAGCACTTTTGAATAAATAATTTTCTATATCTTTTCTACAAAATTTAATTCCTCAAAATTTTGTTTGCTATTATTAAAAAAACATCACAACTTTATGTTAATGACATAGGGATGTAAAGGTAACACTGGGAACCCAGGTGACAGAGGGCGGACAGGTTTGAATGGACCTGGGGGAAAGAAAGGACCACCTGGATTAAAGGGGCAGTCTGATCATAAAGGATTCAGAGGAATTTTAGGAGAAAAAGGAGAAAATGTATGTGATATATCATGATGTGGCCATTAAATTTAACGTATACATGTACATCAATTGTAAAGGGTTCAATGGGTAATACTGGTATTACTGGATCAATGGGACAGAAAGGTGATAATGGTAATAATGGAATCGTTGGGCCATTAGGAAAAAGAGGACTCCAAGGAAATACTGGTCAAAAAGGCTGTCAAGGTAATTATTTATATGTAAATTTTCATTATGATTCATTTGACTATTTTATAGGTGAGCCTGGAAATAAGGGAAGTAAAGGAGACCAAGGAGCTTTTGGGTTTAGAGGAAAGAGTGGATTGAATGGAAGAATTGGTCCTAGTGGAAAAGATGGACATCCTAGCCCTCCTCCACTTAGAGGTGATCCTGGAGATAAGGTTGAAAGGCTCTTGTTTATGTATGAGAATAATATCAATTGCTTTATTTGAAGGGTGAGAAAGGATTTATTGGTTCACCTGGTCAGAAAGGAAATGTTGGATTAAAAGGAGAAAATGGAATGCCTGGTGCAAATGGCCATTCTGGTCCATTGGGTGATCCTGGTAATGATGGATTGCCTGGAGCTAATGGATCAACTGGACCACCTGGTAAAAATGGCATTACTGGATCTAAAGGAGATATGGGAGATCAAGGAGAAAGGGGAGAAGATGGGGAAGTTGGATTACCTGGAAAAAGTAGTAGTACATGTAGTAATATTAGCTAATGCATTAATGTCAGGTGGAGCTACTGGAATGAAGGGACCACCTGGAGAAAAAGGCTCTTTTGGTATTAATGGAACTGATGGTATTCCTGGACACACAGGTGATAAAGGGACAAACGGAACAACTGGTGATTCTGGTAACAATGCTACTGATGGTGAAAAAGGAATGAAAGGATCTATGGGAGACAAAGGTCGTACTGGCAAGCCAGGACCAGTTGTAAGTCAATGATTATATTAACTGATTTTAACTTGCTCTCGTGCGTGTATGTACATGTACATGATAATGTCTTTGTTGGATTTCTGGCTTCATTATTATTTTTGTTTATTGTACAGGGTGACTCTGGTTTAAAAGGCTGTAAAGGTGATTTAGGATCTCAAGGCGAAAATAAAAGTATTATATAAAGATACTATATGCATCATTGATATGTTGGCTTAGCTGTAACTGGTCCTCCTGGAGGACGAGGTAGTCCTGGTCAATATGGTTTACCTGGTCAGAAAGGATCTAATGGGACTATTGGAGTAATGGGACCCAATGGGATTGAAGGAGATAATGGAGATGTTGGAAAGAATGGTATGAAAGTGCAATTTATAATGTTTTTGTGTTACATGTAACTTATAGGAACTGTTGGTGAAGTTGGGATGAAAGGCAAGAAAGGTGAACAAGGATCACAAGGTATACCTGGTAATCCAATTGGTCCTCCTGGTTCACCTGGACCGCCTGGAGTAAGAGGTAACATTCATGTACAATTTTTGATTAATATACATGCATGTATAATGTGATTTTAAGGAAGAAAAGGCCCTCCTGGAATGATAGGCAGTAAAGGCAATGAGGGACCCGATGGACCAAAAGGTGACAAAGGAGAAAGAGGGAGACGTGGAGTCAAAGGTAACTCAGGAGATAAAGGATCAACTGGACTTAATGGAGACTCATTTGGCCTTATTGCTAAGGTATGACATGCATTTAATATTTATAGTACATGGTTAGTAGGTCTGTATGGGATTTATCAGTCCTAAAACTGAGGCTAATATATTGCTATAATGTGCTATGGTTTAAATGCACCATTTTATGTTACTTGAGCCGGGCTGTGTATTTGCAGTGCCTTCTAGTGATGAGCAAAGATGAGCACTTCATTTTTCAATGTTATATAAACTATACTGACTTCATGGCAGTGCAGTAACTATAAGACTGTTACATGTATAGGTATATCAGAATGAAAGTGGATTGCAGCAGGAAGATGGTCATGAGCAGGGTGACTTGGCTTTTAATCTGGAGAATCAGAGTTTATACATTTATGTCAACGCCACAACTGCCTTGAGAGCATGTTCTGTAAGATGAATTTGTGTTTGAAAAAATTGTATGTATGGTTTTATAGGACTTTATCCCTGGCCCTCCTGTAAGAGCTTTAATGTTAATATTGCTATGAATAGTATTATTATTTTAGGGTTCTCCTGGAGAACGTGGCTTGCGGGGAAAACCTGGATCAAAAGTAAATTTTTAATGCATTGAGAGATGATTATGATGCTGCAATTATGGCTTACATGTATTTTAGGGTGATAAGGGGGCATCAGGACTGCCTGGATTAAAAGGAGAGCCTGGTCCAAGAGGTAGACCTGGCAAAATGGTATCTCTTTAATAAATTATTATATGCACTTAATTGTAACACAAATCATGTTTATTTTGCTTAGGGCCCTCAAGGGCCTACTGGTCCAGGCGGAATGAAAGGAGAGAAAGGAAATGAAGGAATGAAAGGAGATCAAGGTTTGAAAGGAGCTGCAGGAAAGAAAGGAATTCCTGGCCCTGTTGGAATGAAAGGATTCCCAGGATCAATGGGGCAGAAAGGAGAGAAGGGTAATCAAGGTGCCAGAGGAAGATCAGGGAAACCAGGACCAATTGTAATTCATTTATAATTTTAAACAAAATTTCAAGATAGTAATTATATTTTAGGGAGAAAAAGGTGATACTGGACCACCTGGCCTAAATGGTACAACTGGCTCTATTGGTAGACCTGGGAAAATGGTAAATTTTTTTGATAGGATCTATAACTAGTTCTTTTACTTTTAGGGTCCTCCTGGTCACCCTGGTCCACCTGGTATGAAAGGAATGAAAGGTATGAAAGGAATGAAAGGAATGAATGGATCACGTGGTGATGAAGGACCACTAGGACCACCTGGTAGAAAAGGATTGCCTGTAAGTACATGCTACCTTAGCATTGTGTTATAGATTGTTTGGTATAGGGACCACCAGGAGAGAAAGGAGATAAAGGTTCACCTGGACCAATAGGTGACAAAGGTGATATTGGTCCACCAGGAGAAAAGGGGAACAATGGAACTAAAGGAGATAAAGGAAGTAAAGGAATGGAAGGTGACCCTGGACCAAAGGGAGAGAGGGGTGAGAAAGGAGACCCTGGTATTGATGGTATTAATGGCACCAGAGGACCTCCTGGCATCGATGTAAGTAATTAATGTAGCCAGTTATTTGGTAGTGTGTCCACTATATTTTGTAAATAACTTGCTGGCTTTGTTGTTTACAATTAACACAAAATTAATGTACCGTATAGCAAGAAATTTCAGAGGGAGTAAAATTTGACGAATTGCTAAATTTTAGTGATTGGTGGATTTTAATTTGGTGAATTTGTGGCCATGTGCCATTGAGCATGTGCATAATGGCTGAAAATGAAGGGTTTTATTTTGGCAAATGGCTATCAAAACACCAGTTTGCCAAATTTAATTCCCTCAAAAATTTCTCTCTACATGGTAATTTTTGAAAATTTATTGACCACATCCAAAATTTTTTGTAAATGGGCGGATTGCCCCAAAATCCAGGAAATAATATGGGACTGATGTCTTCTTATACATATTATATTTGCTGCACTCAGTGTGGGTGAGGTATTGCATGTAATTAAGTACATGCATATTTTACAGGGAATGGATGGTCAAAATGGAACAAAAGGCAATCAAGGTTTGCAAGGTAGACGTGGTAAACCAGGCCTCCCTGTAAGCAGAACTTCCAATCAATTATTAAAATTAAAATGTGTTGTTATCAGGGTGATGTGGGAAGAACTGGACCTCCAGGTATTAATGGAACAAGTGGTCCTAGAGGATTACCTGGGAAAACGGTAATCATTATGCTTTGCTTTCATGGGCATGCATAATCGTTTTGTGTTTGCAGGGACCTCCTGGACCTAAAGGAATGAAAGGACAGCAAGGACCAAATGGAACAACTGTATGAATTATATCATTGTAAATGAAGCTGTTATTTATTCCATTGATCACATTAAAGGGTATGAAAGGAATGAAAGGAGAACCTGGCCCAATAGGGCCTTCTGGCCCCTCTGGAAGGAAAGGATTACCTGTAAGCCACCATATATAGTTTATAAAACAATGGCATTGTTTAGCATTGCATAGGATTATTTATGCATGCTATATTATAGATGGTAATTTTGCAGGGTTTATTTTTATTACATTTTTTGATACACATTGATGTCCTTATGCTGTGTAGAAAGTTTGAGCTGATTACGAGTTCAATTTTTTGAGTTACAACCATTTTAAGAAAATGTCAAAATTATAAAAAATATCCAAGGCTATAGCCCATAGTTTTTTCCGAAAAATGGCTCTGAAATCACCCCAAATTTTTATTACATTTTCTGATACATATTGATGTCCTTATGCTATATAGAAAGTTTGAGCCAATTCTGAGCTCAAATTTTTGAGTTATGGCCATTTTAAAAAATGAGCCAAATTTTGAAAAATACCCAAGGCTATTTTTTTGCCCATGATTTTTTCAAAAATTGGCTCCGAAATCACCCCAAATTTTTATTACAATTTCTGATACATATTGATGTCCTTATGTTATGCAGAAAGTTTGAGCCAATTCTGAGTTAAAATTTTTGAGTTATGGCCATTTTAAAAAAATGAGCCAAGTTTTGAAAAATACCCAAGGCTATAGCCCATTTTTTTTTTTTTTTTTAATAAATGAAATTTTGTTTGAAATAATAAGAGAGACACGGAGATAGACATACAGACAAATCATAGTAATAAATTTATAATAATTAAATAAATAAATATTTTAGTTAGTAATTTATTATGTGACCATCAGACAGTGCAACATCAGGATCATAAACACCGGGCCGATACAATGATTTTCTTGTTCCTCGAATGCAGCGGATGGTCGATCGTAATATTGAGAATGATAATTTGCCCATAGTTTTTTTCCAAAAAATGGCTCCGAAATCACCCCAATTTTTTATTACATTTTCTGATACATATTGATGTCCTTATGCTATGTAGAAAGTTTGAGCCAATTCTGAGCTCAAATTTTTGAGTTATGGCCATTTAAAAAAATTGAGCCAAGTTTTGAAAAATACCCAAGGCTATAACCCATGGTTTTTTCAAAAAAATGGCTCCGAAATCACCCCAATTTTTTATTACATTTTCTGATACATATTGATGTCCCTATGCTATGTAGAAAGTTTGAGCCAATTCCAAGTTAAAATTTTTGAGTTATGGCCATTTAAAAAATGAGCCAAATTTTGAAAAATACCCAAGGCTTAGCCCATGGTTTTTTCCAAAAAATGGCTCCACAATCACCCCAAATTTTCATTACATTTTTTGATACATATTGATGTCCTTATGCAGGATTTAAAATTTGAGCTGTTTCCAACAAATAGCTTTTGAGCTATAAGCATTTTTAAAATGAGCCAATTTTTAAAAAACAAATTTAGCAATAGGCTTTTGATGCCTTGTGTCACATGTACAAAGTTTGAGTCAATTTTTGAGCCATGGGCATATCTGCTATTTTTCTTCACCATTTTACTACATTTTCACATTGACCATGTAGAAAGATTGACTTAATTGATTTCAATCACAAATTTTGGAGCTAGCACAAAGTAACCATGTACTACCCTTTTGTCTTATAAAAAGTTTCAGTCGATTTTGATAGCAAATAATTTTGGGGCTTCGGACATTTAAAATTGCACATATTGTTATTTTCAGAAAATTAAAATTTTTTAAAAACAGCTCATGCGTGTCAAGTATGCTAATTTCTGAAAAATAATCATTTGTGTTGTAATTATTTGTTAGGGTCTTCAGGGTGAAACTGGCAATCCTGGTGAGAAAGGAAACCCTGGGCGACAGGGAAAACCAGGTCCTCAAGGAATGAAAGGCTCACATGGATTTAAAGGAGAAAAAGGAGAGAAGGGTAATGAAGGCTTAAGAGGAAGAGCAGGAAAACCTGGACCAATGGTATATTAAGGCATATGCACTTAAGTTATTAAATCAGATAACTTATTTTTAGGGAGAGAAAGGTAACACTGGATTACCTGGATTGAATGGTACAACTGGGCCTATTGGCAGACCAGGGAAAATGGTGAATATACACTTACGTATATCTATTCAATTGTATAGTGACTATTATTTTAGGGTCCTCCTGGTCCTCCTGGTCCACCTGGTATGAAAGGAATGAAAGGTATGAAAGGAATGAAAGGAATGAATGGGTCACGTGGTGATGAAGGACCACTAGGACCACCTGGTAGAAAAGGATTGCCTGTAAGTACATGCTACCTTAGCATTGTATTATAGATTGTTTGGTATAGGGCCCACCAGGAGAGAAAGGAGATAAAGGTTCACCTGGACCAATAGGTGACAAAGGTGATATTGGTCCACCAGGAGAAAAGGGGAACAATGGAACTAAAGGAGATAAAGGAAATAAAGGAATGGAAGGAGACCGTGGACCAAAGGGAGAGAAAGCTGATAAAGGAGGTCCTGGTCCTGACGGTGACAAAGGGGAAAGAGGACCAAAGGCAAAGTCTACTTTATTTAATTTGTTTATTGTAACTAATAGGGAGACCCTGGAGCAAAAGGTAACAAAGGAGACCGTGGCCCTAAAGGCAATAAGGGAGAAAAGGGCATCAAAGTGAGTAGCTATGCATGGGACCTGTTATGAGTATCATAATTGTTAGGGAGACAAAGGAGACAAGGGAGATATTGGACCACCAGGTGAAAAAGGTGGCATTGGAGAAAGAGGAGAAAAAGTATATTTTAATGCATTAAGTCCCATATAGACATAATATGTATAACTCTGTACATGTACATGCATGCATATAGGGAGAAAAAGGAATGAAGGGTGATCAAGGAGATGTGGGTCCCAAGGGAAATGATGTGAGTGAATAGGGATTCATAATTATTACATTATATACTTTACATGTATGTTAGGGTCCCCATGGGCCAGTTGGTGATCCTGGGCCTCAAGGTCCTTGTGAAAAGGGCAATCCTGGACCAAGAGTAGTACAATAGTTCATTGATAATTAAAATATATCATAATAGGGAGATAAAGGACAAAAAGGAGAAAACGGCCCAGAGGGACGCATGGGACCTAAGGTAATTTTATACATGATTGAAAATGCTGCAGCTGAATATTAATAATGTAGGGATTGAAAGGAAAGAAAGGGGAAATTGGTATGCGAGGACCTATGGGAGATAAAGGCCCTCCAGGAAATGATGTAAGTGATAACTAAGAAAATAATTATTAATATTGTTTAATGTTTAGGGGCCTAGAGGATTTCCAGGAGACAAGGGAAACCAAGGTCCAAAGGGAAACCAAGGAATAACTGGAAGAACTGGAAAGCCTGTAAATATTATTGTTGTTGAATGTGAGTGTAAAACTTGTATCAATGTTAAAGGGAAGGAAAGGTTCAAAGGGAGACATGGGTCTTAAGGGAGAGAAAGGTTTAAAGGGACTCCAAGGAAGATTTGGTAAACCAGTAAGTAGATTCTGGTATTTACGTAAGTATTATTGCTATTGTTGACAAGGGTTTGCCTGGAGCTAAAGGTGAGAAAGGAATGAAAGGAAGCATTGGTTATAAAGGAGAAAAAGGAATGAAGGTAAGTGGAATTATCACAAAATTAAATAATCAAGCAAGGGTGGGTTTATATACTGTATTTATTATGACAGTGATTATTTTATGAGTATAATCAGCGTCTCCTATATTTTATTAATAATGTATACAGGGTTGCAATGGTAGCATTGGTGACACTGGGCTGCCTGGACCCAGAGGACCTACTGGAAAACAAGTAATAAAATTAAGAATTAATGTTTTTAATGGAAGTGATTCATAGGGTTTACCTGGAGATAAAGGTAGCATGGGCAGAAAAGGAGACAAAGGGCCAAAAGGAGATAAAGGAGCAGTTGGACGTACTGGACAGATTGGTAAAATTGGCCCCCCTGGAATGAAAGGAATAAATGTAAGTGAAGCATAGAGCACCTGGCCATTTAGCATAACTGCACATCAATAGCTGGTTAGCTGATTCTCTGAGCTACATGTACTTTTGATGAAATACCTTGTACTGTCCATTAGTCTTTGTCTTAATTTTGAAGCAACTTTTTTAAATTCTAAATAATCCAAAATTAATTGTCCCACAGATTAGTATATATATCACAAATAATTAGATTTTTACTAGTTCAGTTGCTTCAAGGCATGTACTTGTCTATTGTAGTGCTTGTCAGCTCATGAAGCATACTTTTAGCTCACTTAGGAAACCCTGGTGTCTAGATAATAATGTTATTTGCAGGGAACAATGGGAATAAAAGGAGTGAAAGGATACTCCGGCTCTAGAGGCTCACCAGGAATGAGAGTATGCCTATAATGCATGACATCAAACCCCTTCAATGTATGACAGGGTCCACCTGGTCCCAAAGGAATGAAAGGGGAAACTGGACCGAAAGGTGACCAAGGAATGATAGGAGAAAAGGTAATCCTGTAATTTTTAAAATTTTGATATTATGCTTGGACTTTTAATTCAGGGAATGATGGGAACAAAAGGAATAAAAGGAAGTACTGGTTTACCAGGTGCTAGAGGACTTCCTGGATTAAAAGTAGCTATTCGTATGTGTCCAGTGTCTTTGATTTCTTTAGGGATTGAAAGGAAACAAAGGTATAAAAGGTGAAAAGGGAGCAAAAGGTTTTCATGGAATTAATGTCAGCTTAAGAAATTTACAGTAAAAAGAATTAGATTAATAGCATTATTTATAGGGTACTGATGGTGTCCCTGGAAGAAATGGTAGCATTGGTATACCAGGTCATCGTGGTTTACCAGGACAAAAGGTTAGCTGTAGGGCTTGGAGGCAAGGCATATGCTATCTTTGTGACACAAGTCTATTTGTATTATCATTTACTTGTATAATTTATCTAGGGAGAAAAAGGAAGTCCTGGGTTAAAAGGAGATAAAGTATTGCAAGCTTATTATTTTACTATTGTTATTAATACTTGATGTAATAGGGCATTGTGGGAGATAAAGGTGAAAGAGGACCAATTGGTATTCCTGGATCTCGTGGATCCCCTGGAATGAAAGGAGATCAAGGATTAAAAGGAGAAAGGGGTCCTACTGGAGAAAAAGGTTTTAAAGGTCAAAAAGGAGACACCGTAAATTGCTTTTAGTAAATTATCATCATGCATAAGTGTGTAATAGGGTATAATGGGCACTGAAGGAATGAAAGGTGTCAAAGGTGACACGGGAATAAATGGGACTCCTGGAGCAAGGGGATCTCCTGGACTAAAGGGAATCAAAGGATTTAAAGGAACCAAAGGAATAAAAGGTGGCTATACCTTTCAATATTAAGTGTCTACTTATTATTTTTATGTAGGTGCTAATGGTACTAAAGGTGTTGAAGGTGACCCAGGTCGAAGAGGTTTTCCGGGAAAAGATGGATTACCTGGACGTACTGGCCCTCCTGGAAAAGATGGGGAACCATGCATGAAAGGACAAAAAGGAGAAAAAGAGGAAAGAGTATGATGCATGATCATTGTTTTCCTTTTATGGTTACTATGTATCTATCTAGGGAGAGAAGGGAAGTAATGGTACGAAAGGAGACATAGGACCTCCTGGAATGAAAGGGGAAAAAGGACAAGCAGGAACTGATGGAGATAAGGGAAGGACAGGAAAACCAGGATCCAATGGAATACCTGGAATACCAGGAAGAGCTGGACCACCTGGAAACAAGGGAATGAAAGGAGACAAAGGCTCCAAAGGAGAGAGAGGATTACAAGGAGAAACTGGAAGAACTGGACTCAGTGGCTCAGGTTAATACAAAGAGCATTCCCATGACCATAAAATAATTATTGTATTCACTGAGCTATTTGAAGTGTTGATTTTGGCGATATTTTAATTTGTTGAAAAAAAAGCATATATTTTATTTTTACATGCAGATGGTCCTAAAGGAGATAAAGGAGACGTAGGAGAAATGGGAACGCCTGGTATTAATGGTACTGATGGTTCAAAAGGAGATAAAGGATCTAAAGGTGATAAAGGAATGAAAGGATTGCCTGGACTCGATGGAATGAAAGGTGACAAAGGGATGAAAGGATCTCCTGGAACAGTTGGAGGAATAGGAAAAACAGGCCCAAGAGTAATAAAGTCCTAAAATTGTGTCATATTTACATATTCCATAGGGAGAAAAAGGAGAAAAGGGAATGCTTGGTGATCCTGGTTTACCAGGAAATGTAACTGGTTAGTTCATTGCCATATTGATTAATGGCTCCAAAAAAACAATAATATAGGAATAATGGGTCCAACTGGACCAAAAGGATTAGTAGGACGTCAAGGACCACCTGGAAAACGTGGTCAGAAAGGTTTTATTGGACCTCCTGGGCTAAAAGGCATGAAAGGAATAAAAGGAATGAAAGGAGATGATGGTAAAATTGTGCTAGTGTAATTTCACCTTATCATAATGATACAGGATCTCAAGGATCTCAGGGTATGAAAGGGGAAGAAGGAGATCCTGGAAAGAGAGGGCTGCCTGGAGATCGTGGTGGATTGCCTGGTCCACAGGGAGATATAGGGCCACCTGGTACATACTATATAAATGGAATGTATTGGGTAATGACGACATTAACTTGTAGGGCCTCAAGGCCATAAAGGGATCAAAGGTGACAGAGGAATGACTGGTCCACCAGGTTCAAAATGTCCCCCTGGACCGTCAGGAGACACTGGCCCAAAGGGATATAAAGGTGACAAAGGAAGTATTGGAAATAAAGGGGATCGTGGTCCACCGGGAATGAACACGATGGTGAAATAAACTGCACAATTCTTTATGATTACTCTTTTGCAGGTGTTTTATAATGAAACACAGTTTCCTGACTGTGGGCAAGATACAGATTATGTTCATGGAACGATTATATTTAACTTAGAAAACAAGAACTTGTATGTGTGCATTGATGGAGTGGGCTGGGTGAAGCATACATGCAACTTTGCTTCTATGAGAGAAGAAAGAGATGTAAGTGTTACTGGCAATTGGCCACAAGCAAATATTGATTTACTGGGAACTGTTAGTGACTCCTTGTCAAGGAAAAAACATCATTAATAATGTACAGTAGACTGTGTGTTATGCAATTGTGATTAATTTGAATTTTATTTTAGTTATATGAGTGATTTTGACAATCTATATATAGCAATTACGTATAACAGTCAATGCATATTACAACAATAGTTACTAATTGTAAGTGGGTGTCAACCCTTCCCTCTTTTGCCCCTTTGGGTGATTGCAGGGTCTATGCATTGTATTATGCTACTAATAAGTGTGAATTGTAAGTTTTGACATGTGCTTTGGAATAACAATTGATGATTATTGATTGCCTACTAAACTGTTTTCATTTCTGAGCACTTGTTTAGTCAATGAGTTATAGCATTCATTTTCATCTTGACATCGTCAAGTAATATGGAGGGAAGGAACAAATGTATCTTTTTCATGTCACTGGTGTGGACTATTTTGATGAAATCATTCGGCCCTTCTATGATTTTCTCCTCTACTCATTGGAGTCAAAATGAGAAAATATGGTATCATAATATTTTGAGTCCTGCCACACTTTTCTTTTATCTATTGTTACCTTTCTTTGGTCTCTTAGCAAATAAACTTGGGCAGCTCAATACAGCAATTGCATGTACATGCATTGGAACCTTTTTATCCTTTTGCTTCATCCTACTGTCGCTTCTCAATGGTATGGCAATTGATATCATCACATCAGTAGTGGTTCCATTCAGCCTTTTCACAAAAGTTTACTTTGACAATTTAGTTTTATGTTTTATTTCTAATGAGCTTACAGAACAGTCCT